GAGATCAATTCCTGAGTTCAGCTTAATCAAAAACGAAATAAGTTTATATTAAATTTGAAATTTAAAACCAAATATGACGAAGGAACCAATGTCTCTTAATAGCAACTATTGTTATAATATAGAGGCAATTTAGCTCGAGCGAATCGTAGAGTAACATTAACATAACTTTCTTACGTTAAGTTCCCAATTAAGCATTTATACACTAGGAATAATGCAAGAAATAATAACTCTGCAAAAAAAAATAAACAGTATAACAATTTAATATTTAAAAATAAAAATAATTAATAATTCAATTATTCCATTTCTAATTCCGATATAACATAATAGACATTTGTTAATAAACTTTTACAATAAATTAAAAACTCCAAGTTAGAATATACAAATCAAGTACGGCTTTGGATCGGTTGGTTATTTAACACTGACTCTGAGCTTCAATTTTGGCAGGGCCCGAGTTGGCCATTGGTACTTCCAGCCTAAAAAAATTATTTACGAATACCATAATTAAATACAAAAAATAATTCCGAGATCACTGATGATGAGTATTTGGCAATATGCGATGCAGCAGTATGATCAGCTAAATATTTAATTAAGTAATGAATAATAAAATTTTGTTGTTGTTAATCACTACTGTTTTAAAGATCTCAGTAAATAAATTGATTGAGTAATTACATTTTTTTTATTGATCTATGTGAACGCATTCATTGTTAACTAAAGAAATTTGGGATTTTTAGTTGAATCACTTGTGAAAATATTACTGAGATTGAGTCATAAATAAATGAGACATAAACTTATCGCATATAACATATAGAGTCTGGTATCAACATATATCCCAAAAATAAGTGGTTCTCTAGAGTATGTGTATATGGTATTATATACCAGTTAAATCAGTTAAATCAATTTTGCATAAACAATTGGGTACGGAATGGTATTGGCAAGATGATCACAATCCCTATACCACAATAGTGGTAAACACGGTTTGTACGGATTAAAAACAATTTTGATTGTGTTTTTTAGACCGTTTTCATCCTGGAACTTTATCGGCAATACTTTAAGGTAGCGTCTCTGTGTTAGTTATCCATTAAAAATTTTCTACAATGGTTAACCAATACAGGGGTTCTATTGGCAGGATAATTGCTATACATTTTATTGAATATATATGATTCTGTTTTCCTAGTTTGTGCGTAGTGCTTCTGTTATAACTTTATATTAAACTTCATTTCAGAAATAGGCAACGATGTCGTTTCATTTATTCGTGTTATTTTCTTTTCTTACAAGTTTCATTTCATTGAACGGATGAACTAGGTCATAGAAACGTAACAATCATAAAGTTGATCAGAAAAGTAATGTTTATACTGCATACCTATACGAGAATTTATATAATATTATTTAAATTTTAGATCGTATGAACCAGCTCAGGGAACGGCAGCAACTGTAATGTTGGTCAGAAAAGATATTGATCGCAATATTTTGGGTTTAATGTGATATAATTCATATATATGTTCGGATACATAAAAGGAAAGTGACGACTGTAAACTTGGTCAGAGAAGCAACCATCATAATATTTTGGAATTCATCATAATATTCATTTGGTATGATGATGAAGTTCATTGTGATGACCTCTAGACTACCAATGGCGATTACTTCCTACCCTTATTGGATTATTTCAATAATGTATTAAAGGTAAAACTTTCCACTCGGTCAAAAATAAGTGCTGTTTAATTAACAAAAGTCACGTCTGCCATTGTAAAATCTAGTAAATTTTGTTATGACATGCTCATCCCACCTAGTATAAAATCTATGTAAATCCTATGCAAATATTGCTTAAATTTTGAATTAAAGTTTCTTAGAAGACCTTAATTGATATATTTTTATTATGAATAAAAGGGTTTCAACTTCTGCTAAAAGTAAATATGCAATTTACTGCCAGGAGCACATCCATTCCCCTGCTATTTTATTAAAATGTATTCCATTGTTTATTATTCCTTATAAATTTGTTGTTATTAACTTTTTGCGTTTGTTATTATTAAATTCGTAGAAGAAATCACTTCATAAATACATCATCATAATGGATGGGGCTGTTTGTATCTGAAGGTGAAAAGGCAATGCATAAATTGCATTTATTCTCTTCACTTGCTTTCATGGTAATAAAAAGCTTTCGAGACGAGGGAAGGAATCAGAAGTGTTGACAGTAAATGACAATGCATTATATACGGTTTTGGATTGATGGACACAAAAGTATGAATACATTTACCTTTAGCTTCATTTATGTTCATTTCGTTCTCTGCTTTTGTCTATAAAAGAATATACGCAGCACTGTATCTGTGATATTAACAAATTGCGCATATCTTCAGCACTTATTTACCTTTTCTTTATTTGATATACTCGCAAACGATGTGACTATTGTTTATGTAAAATATAAAAATTACGTACAAAATAAATTCTGATTTGCGTATTTATTCTTGCATTTCCGAGAATACACAAATTTTATGAATTTATTTATAAGAAATATCATGATATGACAACAACAAGGTCCACCAAACATTTCTTGTTGTCTTTGTTTTATATTACATTATAAATAATTTTTTGCAATTTTTTTTAATTAATTATGAAACTCACAAAATAGTTTAAATATTTTTTAAAAAATTAAATTCAATAATAAAATATATTGCAATAAATCCATGCATAAAGAAACAACTTTTACTTTAAAAAATCACTCATACGCAGTGTTGGCTCAGATTGGCGCAATAAGGTTCAATTATAAAAGTTAAGTTACAGTTTTGTTTTAAATCTATTCTAATTTAATTAGAATTAGAACAATTACTTATTTGAGCTAAGCTTAACATTTGTTAAAGTATTTATATCTCATGGGTCTCATGGGTATCTGAAAACTGGAGCAGTCTGAGGAACTACAGTTGAGCTTGCCAAAATAGGCACGCTGCTCTTGGAAATTTTATCCTCGGTTTTGGTTATCTTCTTGCAATGGTTAAGCTTGCTATTGACTGTAAATGCCCACGGATTATGGAGGAAACCTAAAATAATTACAGAGGTTTTGTATTTTTTAAGTCATCAAAAATGTATTTGAAATCAGTCATAATAAATGACATTATCTTTCTGGCGCTTTGCTCCTCATAGGATCTACGGGAACTAATATATATTAGAAATGATTTTACTTATTCAAACATAATATTATTTGAATGCTAGTGAGCTTAAGAATTGTAGGTACACATTTGTCTTTACTGAGAAACAATTTTAGACCTTATAAAATTGATAATGATTACAAATATGGAGTTATGAATAACAACAAAATATGAAACAAAAACAATAAAAAGCGTGTACTTAATGCACTAAATAAATAAATAAATAATAAAATAATAAAAAAAAAACAAAGTATGGAGATTATTTAAATTAAATAGGAAAAAAGTTTAGCATCTTTTAATATGTAATTTAGTATATCAAAAAAAAAACAAAATAGAATAGTACTTATAAATAGATCCTTCCAATAAATTTGGAAATTTACTTACAATGATTGTACATATATATGCCCATACTTTTGCAATCTATCTAAAGGAGGCTCTTATTTCATTATATATTATTAATTCAGTCTTACTATTCTAGTTTTTTAAAATAAATAAAATAAAATAAATAATATAAAGTATAAAACTATTTTAAATAATATTATAAAATAATTTTTTGAATATTAAAAACCGTTTTATGTCTCGCTAAATATTTCATAACATAATAAACTTATGTATTCTCTCTAAAATAAAATATTAATTAATAAAAAATTTTAATAAAATATTTTAAAACCTAATAAACTTATGCATTCCTTATAAAATAAAATATTAATTAACAAAAAATTTTAATAAAATATTTTAAAACATAAACTTATACATTCTCTCTAAAATAAAATATAAATTAATAAAAAATTTTAATAAAATATTTTAAAACATAATAAACTTATGTATTCTCTCTAAAATAAAATATTAATTAACAAAAAACTTTAATAAAATATTTTAAAACATAATAAACTTATGCAAAAAATAAAATCTAAAATAAAATATTAATTAATAAAAAATTTTACTAAAATATTTTAAAACATAATAAACTTATGCATTCTCTATAAAATAAAATATTAATTAACAAAAAATTTTAATAAAAGCTATCAAGGTTCTTTCTTTTATGTGGTTTTATACTCGTAATTTTTTATATCCATTTAATGTGTAAGTATAAATTAAAATCAGACAATTTCTCTAAATAATCTCTTAATCTCTGTTAAAATCATTTAATTGAAAGTAATTCCTCAAAATAAAAATAAATAAAACACGATTAATGTGCAAATATATAAAAAAATATAAATATAAATAAAAATGTTGAGGTGTCGAGAGTGTAGACCAGTGCTTGCGTTTTTTGTTTTTGTTTTTTGTTTAAAAAATTTAAAAAATAAATTCATATTATAATCGATAAAATATTATTTTTATTTATAAAATATATATTAAAATGTTTTTATAATGCAGCATCATAAACGCTACCGTTGCCACGGCCGTTTATTAACGAGCGGCAGAGGCGAATAAAAATAAGAGCGATCACGGGGCAAAGAATCGAAAGTAAAAATCTTACATTTTTCTATATTTAACAAATTGTAAAGAAGTTCGCGTTCACAGACGGCGGACAAGTCGAATGTGAGCAAAAAATCATTTTGTACCGAAAAGCGATCGTGAGTGGACGTCTTTATAAATTCTAAATCGACTCTAGAATATATTATCATATTAAAGAACATTGAAGATTTGAAAAAATTCGTAACTTTTAAAAAATTTCCTCTGAACGTAACGTTACGTTGCACTGCGGCGTGACGCAACGTCACGTAAAAAACGCATAGAAACGCATAGAAACGCGCTTGGCAAATGCGACAGAATTGTGTGCTAAACGCGTGTGTTTAATTAAATAAAAGATTAAAGTGAAATTTAAAATTTTTTTTATTTATTTTTATATTTTTATTTCAGTTAGTGTTTGAAAAAAAATTTGTTTATATATTTTTTTTATTTAAACATATTTTCAACTAATTCCAATCAAGCAGAGCTCCCTGCGTGATAAAAATAAACGCATTTTAAATGCGTTACGTGTTAAAAAAACGCTACAAACTTAACGCAAAACAAAATTCAAACAAATTTCAACAGAAGTAAGTTTAATAAAGTGTTTATTTACATAACAGTTTACAGTCTACAGTTTATAGTCTAAAAAAATATATGTAACGACGTATGAAAAAATAGCTATAGTGGTATTTATAAAAAAATGATGTATTTGATTAATTGTTACATATTAAACGAGTGTGACTATAGTGATTATGTAAAATATTTGATGAAAAAATTTGGGTTTTTTTTCCCCATGTATTCCCCATGTGAAGGCGAAGCCTCGGCATGTCAAAATCAACGATGTCAACCATTTTCGAATTATGAAATGTCAGAATATTATTTTAAATAAATTTATTTGCTTGATTGTTGTTGTTTTATAAACTGAATAAAAAGTTTTCAACGCTAGTACATTTCATTCTTCTTGCAGGAACGCAAACGTGCACAAAAAATGATAAAAAATTACTCATTCGCACCGTTGTGTCAAGCAATTGCCTATGCCAGCTTTTATTTTTAGTTTCAAAGAGAATTTCAATTTTTTCCCGATTTAAACTTTTTTGCGTTCCAATATACTTTATTAAAAATAAATAAATACCTTTTAGTTATAGTTTATTTTATTTAAAGAGTCACGTAAAATAAACTACAAGCTTAAAGAAAATTTTATTTATTTAATTTTAAATGGAGTTTTATTAAATTCCTTATTTATTATTACTTAATTATTTTATTAATAAATATGGAACTTAATTTTGCATTATAGTAACTTAAGTACTAAGTTCTTAAATTTTTATTTAATTATTAACAGAGGGAGGGAATCAACCTTTAGGATGGAATGGTGATGAATAATGCAGAAAAACTCTGAAGAATAGAACTCATATACTCACGTTTTGTAATAAAAAAAAAAAATATATATATATATAATATTCAAAAATAAATTTACTTATAATTTCTTAATTAAAAAAGTCTATTTTTTTAAATTTGAAATTATGAAAGTTCAAAAATCATTTTTGTCAATATTACTATTATTGTTTTCTTTTTTAAATATTAAAATTTTGAATTTATTTATAGACCTGCTTTTGATAATGATTTTTATAATGGTTTTTAATGGCTTGTTAAATAATTCAACATTTGATTAATATTTTTTAATATATTCTATATTTCGACTCTCCTTTTAATTTTTTAAAAAACCTAAGGGTCATATTATGCTGACGAATGGTCATGACAATTTTCTGTTCGTTTTGGTCATAACCAAAAGGCTTGTCATTCAGAGATTCATAGCACAGTAACCATTTCGTACTTTTACTACTACTTTGACACTTTTTAGATATGTCTAAACTTAAAAGACAATATTTTTTATATGAATATATAAGCATATCCACACAAAAATACATATATTTGCTCATAAAAGTCACAAATTTTGACATTTATTACCGAGAAATACTGTTTTGATCAAAGTGATGAAGATTTCTGTGACTAAATTTTAATTGAAATTTCTCTCTTTCTCTAATTCTCTGATTCCCTAATTCTCATTTATTAATTTACATTGAAAACAATAATGATTTCACATTTGATGTGACCATGACTGTCTGCATAACATGGCACTAAACAAAATTAAAAAAAATTGATAATAATAAAAAGCAGCTAACTGTTCTCAGAACAATTCAGACCTATATAGAATACTATCCTTTAAGAATACTACAAGTTTATGCCAGTCTGCACCATTCAGTAAAGTGTATTATTTAGTTGATCTTAATACACTTTTACCCTAGTGAAGCTTTCTAATTTTAGTAAACTACGGTTGGTTGGTTGATTTTAGTTGTGATAGAATTTCCGCTTCTGTTCGAGTAGGGCATAGGGTGTTATCCAACTCGGCTTTTGTTACCATCTCGAGCATGAAATACAAGGTAAGGTTTGGAAAACCTTTATTCAAGATATGGCATTTGTGGTTCATGATAACTAATAAATATACTCATTACTGGATAACTAATAGCGACTTGTTAGTTCGTAGACTTCCATAGTGGAATAAACTGAACTTGCTAGGCAGTTGTAAAGAAACTGTTGTTCAGTCAGAAGCGACTGCAATTCTGTTTGAAAGGGATACTCAAGTCTTTAATATAATAGGCTCAATGGCCTATCTGCACCGTCACTAGAATTTGATCTCAAAATTTATAAATTTATAAATATTTATTTATTTGTATATTTTTGAAATATTTTTGACAAACTGATAAATTACTATTTGTTTCAAAATTTGTTGCCTTTAAGAAACTTTTCAATATATAAACATTTAAAATAATTAATATTGCAGAATTTATTGTTGATAATTATTTAATTTTATTCGTATAACTTCTAAACTTCTTATTAAAGCCTTATCAAAAATCCATAGATTTTGACAATTTCTGTGTATTTATTGAGCCAATTTAAAAATATATAAAAATTAGATCATTACATTATAAATATTTAAATAAAGTTACTATTTATTAGATTTATATATGCAGTAGTTTTAAAACGTTTTGAGAAAAAAGTTAAAGCAATTTCTAAATATCGGCTGTATGAATTTAATAAAGGATATTCAAAGCTCATATTATTCTGTTTAATTTTTGTTTAATTATATTTTTAGACAGTTTAATGTCGAACCTTTATCAGACTTTAAAGTGCCGTATTTTAGGTCGATTGCTTTGACTTAGGGTTTGTGTTTAAAATTTTTCTCTCTCCTGATGTTTTAGTTTTGTAAAGGATTTCTTTTAATTAAGTAGTAATTAAATGTTTTCTAAAATTTTTATTCCAATTTTTTATATTTAAAACTTTATTAAGAGAAATAATTGAATAATGTATGTATATAGTTTTCAACTTATATTTATTAAAAATTATTTTTACAAATATGTTTTATAATGTACTAAATGTGCCAGTGTTTTTCAACATTTGCATATACATAATTTTAATAAAACTAAAATGATTTTTATACTCAGTTTTATACTATTTTTTTGCATATTTTACATTAAAACTATTTGCATTAATTAAAAAATTCTGTACTTTCGGAAACTACTTTTGAAATTTATATATAAAATAAAAATTCACCTGATTTCATTTGCATGAAGCTATGTGGACAAAAACATTTTTTTATCAGATATCTTAAGGGTGTATCATTAGCCGCGGCCTCTTACAGATTTTGCATAAAAAAAGAGTAAAAAATTAAAATAGAGCCCACTGCGGCTCCTAAAGCCTTATCAAAGCCGTAGAGTATTGATTAAACTTTATTTAATGGCTGTCTTTTAGAAATAAAAAAATAATTTCTACTTTGATGAAATAGATTTTGTATTTACATTCTTCAGATTGGATGATAATTTTGAAAACGCAGACCGACTTTATTTTCTACATCAAAATATACTAAAATATAGTGAATTGCTCTCGTTTCCTTCTCACTTTTATTTTTGTTTTCATATATTTTTAGTGATATTTTTTCTTGATTTTTTGGTATGACGAAAATGTTATTTTTGGATAGTTGTTTATAAATAAAATATCTCATTTTTATATCTTGTGGCTTATTTTAATGCTTGTGTGAAATTCAGTGAATCAATTTATCCGCTTAGATACTTAATTATGTTCATAGTTTTATCACTTTCAACATAGCAGTAATTAAAAAAATTAAGTGAGAATAGATAATGACAAAAAATACTTTTAGTTTTTGTTGTTGCTGTATAATCACATTATGATAAGTAATATGTAAACTCACAGAATAAATTTTTATATAAAAATTTATGTATTTTTTCATAGAAACTATTATACTTATTATGAATTTTAAAATGAATTGATATGAAATAATTATTTAAAATTGCTAATGTTATAAATTTCCTTTTAAAATTTGAAAAAAATTGTTTTTTTAGGTCTTATAATTGACGCCAAGTTGTCTGAAATTAGTTCTTACCTATTTAAGTGTGCGAAATTGTGGACCCCTTCCCTCCCATTTTTTTTTCTATTTTAAGAGCACACTTTGCATATCGCTGATTGAGATATTTATCATATTATAGATTCGTCGCATCTGATTTTTAGAGATGAGGTAGGTTTAAGTCTACATTTTGTAACAAACCTAGAAGTATATTCTTATTGAGAATTATCTAATTAATATTTAATAATTTAATAAAATTTATGTTTACTTCCTAAAGTATTTAATTGCTTATAATATAAAATAATGAGTATAAATCATATATATTTCGTAATAGTAATTATTTACTTTCACAAAGAACACATCATTACCAAAATACAAGTTTTTAAATAATTTAGTCACTTGAAGATATTTTCCAGTTCCGCCTAAAAGTAGGCAAGCGTAAAATCGTATAGAAAATGTTCAACATTTATCTTAAATTGAGATTCACAATAGTAATAATAAAGGCAGAACAATGAGTTTATGTTTTTATTTTTGTTTTGTTATATTTATATTTTAAAACATTATTAAGGTTAGAATTCGAATATTTTCGGTTTATTTATTTAAGTACTTTATGGCATTCTCGATTCTTTTCAGATATATTCGGGATATGTTTTTAGAATAATCTAATATTTTTGTAGTAGTGTTAGTAAACATTTATAACAATTCATACAAAACAGCTGTTAGTTTCAGGATAATCTCGCTACTCTGGCAACATATCTAAAGTGTTATAAATTAATCTCGTGTATTATACATTTTGCTCCAGATTTACCAATGTAAATAAAATTGCACTAAAAGTGCATTAAAAGAGCATCTCGAGTGAAAAAATTACCTCAGATCTACTAATCAAAAACATCATTAATATCCAAATATTTATCAATTTTTCATAAATAATTTTTTTAAAATAAAAAATGTTTAACTATTTAGAATATCTTGCTTTGACTGATTACATTTTTGGTTACCACTAGAAAAAATTAAATAGATTTTATAATCTTACTATAACTTGTGAGAACTATTCCATAGTTGTTTCGAAAATTTCCTGATAATCCTGCAGTTTCAAAAAACATATATCACTAGCATTTACGTAGGTTCTAATCGCTTATATGCCCTATCATTTTCTTCAATACACAACAT